AAGATAAAGATTCTTAAATTTCAAACTTTGGGTTATCGGGACCAGCAGATAAGCAAAATCGGATAATAAAATATATGGAGTATTACCATATATCGCTCCAGAAGTCTTGAATTGAGAATTATATACTTTGGCTTCTGATATATATACAGTTTTGGTGTAATCATGGTCGAATTATCAACTGGTAATCCTCCCTTTGCTGAAAGAAAACATGAAGTATCTTTAGCCATATTGTAATGGATTTCGTCCAGAATTTGGAAAAGGAACCCCTGAATTTTACAAGAAATTGGCTCATAGTTGTATGAATGCAAATCCATATCAAATAACAACTGCGATGAGTTGTTAAATATAATGGATTTTGGTTTTGCTTTATTTATATTTATGAAAAATATAAAATTATCAAAAAATATGGATATTATGGAAAAGAAATAAATGAAGCATTTGAAAAAGCAGATAAAGAAATACCAAATAATTTAATGTCACTTAAAGCAAATCCTGATGCTGTATATACAAGTAGAGCATTTACATTTAAAAATTTGCCAAAACCTATTAATTAGTCTCTTATTACCTCATATCTTGAAAAGGATGAGAATAATGAAGGTAATATATACTTAACTTTTTATTTTCGATAAAGAAATATTAATTCAATACATTTTAACAGTTTTTCAAGATTCTCTATTACATGAATTAGGAATTTCTAGCTCATTACAAATTAAGTAGTAATATGAATTATCGATCTAATGAATTGTCAATGTAAATATTGATTATATATAATTAAAGATGCCAATAATTGAAGTTTATTAACTTTATTTTTAACATCGGCATATTATATACCGATATAATAATTATTGAAATAACTTAATTTTAAATGTAAGTTTAACCATTTTATATATGGGTTTACTTTAGAAATTTCACTACTTTTTCAGATATACCTAAAGGTTATGTAAAAGCTTAGATCATTAAATAATTTATATAATATTTATTTTTTTTATTAATAAAATATTATGATATAAATATCCTTACATCAAGTAAACCATGAACTTGTGATCCAATTCAAGGAGAATGTATTTAAAATTTTCATACCAGAATATACAAAGCCTACTTCTTATAGCATTATTTTTTTTTATTTTAGTCTTGTCGATATGATTTTGTCTTTTTTGTATATTAAAATTAATGAAAATTCAGATTGATTTTTAATATGATATCAATCAAATCAGAATCCTTATAAATTATACAATTATAATACTAATTACAAAAAGCAATATTTTTAAGTTTTGAATAATTAAAAGAATTACAATTGATACATAATTATAAATATTAATTAAAATCAAATAATCATTGATAGATTGTTAAAAAACTTTTGATAAATATTTTTTATCATTGTAAATATTATGTATGTAATTTGGCATCCTAGAAAAAGGCTTTTACTAGTCAATAAATGTTTAAGGCCTCTAGTTACGAGTTAAAATAATAATTTGATCTGACCCATATATATAATGACTTGTGCTAGAATTTTCAACAAAATTTTAGTGTTATGAAATTAAAAATGCAATAGGGCTTTCTTCTAAGTTCCAGAATCATTGATCCAAAAGAAGGAAGTATTTGTTATTTTTTTTGATAATAGAATTATATTTGTACAAGAAAATTTTTAATTTATTAATTAGGAGATAGTAAATCTATCGTGAGGTGGTGAGGCCATGAAAGAAATTTTCAAATCGAGTAATGAAAGCTAGAACCAGTTAGAATTATTTTGACAAATATAAATTTTAAAATCAAACATATTTAAACCGAAATAATAAATCACTTCTTATTAACTGTACAAGTTAGCGAAACCTTATTGACAAGATGCTAATTGCTTGAAAGTAGATTTAGTAAAACTCGGGCAGTTTTACAGTATAAAACTTTGGATACCAAAACTTGGTGCTTCGCCTCCTCCAAAATATAGATATTATTTTAACCTTTAATTTCTAACTGGTTCATCAAATATTTTAAACTTTTTTATTTGTCAACAATGCAAAGCACAATGTTAGATATGATTGTATTACATCAATTATCAAAAGTATTACTCGTTAAAGATTTTGAATTAAAAATTTAATCAACAAATAATTGAACAAAAATTTCGTATATAATTAAGCCAAACTTAGGTTTTTTTCGTTGAAAAGTTTCATGATAAAGATATGTGAAAACTTCACTAAAAAATTTAAGTGAAATATTATAATATGAGTGACTTATTTCATTTGATTTTTTTCAAAAAAAAATCATTTATGGATTTAATAAAGTTATTTAAAATAGTGTAACTTATGCAATGTACATGCCCAAAAGGATTTATACGCTGACTATCGGTCAACATTAATGTAGTTCAAGGGCCAATCTCACTTTCTCTGGTCATCTGTTAAGCATTAACTTTAATTTGGAACGATTTATTAAAATCATGTTACGGATCAAATTATTATTCTAACTTTTAAACTAATTAAATTGATCATTTTATTATAATATATATATTTTTTTCCATCGGCTATTCTAAATTTTAAGGCTAAATATTAGCATTATGTAAAAAACGGAGTAATTACAATCCAAGTATACTACAATATAAAATCAATCAATATTAATTTTTTTAACCTCTTAACATAACTATAAGCATATAAGGTAATTACGTTAGTTTTATATACAAATACGTAATAATTTTTTTTTTTTAAAAAAAAAAAGAGAAAGAATGACCATGAAAACTGTGATCATTTTCACCGATTCCATTGCTAGTCACGGTTATCATTATTCTATTTATTATAATTATTATATCGTTTATCACTATTTTATTTATTATATTTATTATCATAGTTATATTTATTTTCTTTATTAAATATCTCTTTCTTATAATTGTATTTTATATAAATATCCTGTATTGTCGCCTTGACAAGGAGACAAGTTTCTATCGTACAATTGAATAAAGTATAATCTTAAAAATGTAAAACTTATATCTTTGCCAATATCTATTTCCTTAAAATATAAATCATTAATAAAGACGACCTGACCCTTCAACTTAATTAAATTCTTTCATAGTTTAACGGCTTAAACTCCCTGTTAGCAAATAAGCTTTGTTATCCTAACGACGTAGTGTTTAGCTTAACAGCGGTATGGAAAAAAAAAAAGAATTCGGTTGGTATTAACTAAATAGTAACTTTAATAAGAAATTTATGCTATTCAATATAAAATAAAGTAATTATTTTAAACTTTTAAAATAATCAAATTAATTTTTGAAAATAACTTTTGCGCAGTACACGATTGTCGTTAAAACTTGGAAAGAAAAATTTCCTAATTCTCAGCTTCTCATTTTGTGAACAATTTTTTTTTGAGAAATCAACCATTCTAGAACCAAATGCGCATGTTTTATACGATTTTAAAAAATTTTCAAATTATCTGGTTGATATGGTAAATGACACACTGCCTTTCTTCATTATTTATTATTTTCAAATTTAACTTGAAATGTATATTATTAAAAGTGTAGTATAGTTTTATTATAAAACTTTACAAAAATAAATAGACTATTAATCTGTATATTAAAAAAGGAAAAAAAAAAAAAATCAAGATGTAAGATAATTCAAGATTGGCATCTTATTAAAAAAAGAAATTTTTTGATGAAGTAATAATTAAAAAATAAACTGATTGATTGGTTTTGAATGAGCGTGAAAAAAAATCATCTTTAAAAAGTTCAAATTATTGAGACAATATTTCATTAAGTTACGTTGCTTTTGATTGCGATTAAAAAAAGAACAAGATACTATTATTATTAATACAAAAGAAAAATTAAAGGAGTTCATTTCTTTGAGGATATTTTACGAGAAACAATGCCACACATTCTTATCTTTTAAATTCTTTTAAAATTAAGCTTCTTCTCGCGTGCATTTCAAGGATTCGAATCGATTTCGATATTTAGAATCGATTTGAGAATCGATTTAATCGCGATTCGACTCTAAAAATATTCGATTTTCGATTTTCGATTAATCAAGATAGGTGCTTGAGAACACACCCTAAATAAAATAATTAAATTAAATTAAAAAAAGTTCAAAAATTAAATAATTAATACAAAAATGGACATTAAATATAAAAAATCAAAAATCGTGGGAAGGTAGAATTAAAAAAAAAAAGAATACATCCGAAAAAAAACTTTGGAGAAACTTTTCAAATCGAAACGAAATCGTGACCAAATCGTAAACCTTCGATCCAAGACTTCACGATTGCTATCTGCCAGTCTATTTAAACAAGTAAAATATTTTGGACACCCGTTTTAAACGCAAACCGGTTTTCGTAACATATCCGGTTAAAACCGGATTTAAACCGAATGGTACATTCGGTTCCACTCTAATTCCAAAAGTCGTTGCACTTACTATCAATTCATTTAATTATGACACCAAAGTTATCAATGATTCTTTATCTGTTTTATGCATGACTTGACAATTCTATGCGGACCCGGTGCTCATAGGACGGAAGAATTACATGATTTTATCTGAATTTTACGTGATTTCAGTTTCAAGTGGTCATATAATTTAGTAAAGATCCCGTCTTAAACTCTCAGAAGAGTGCATTGGCTTGAAAACCCTCTATAATATACGCATTTTTCTGAAAATCTCCGGGGTAATCTTACTAAAATAATTTTACAAAACTTCTTTATGCGACTAGGTTTGTTGAGATCGATTCTATTATTGAAATATATATATATATATAGTCTGTTTTAGGTTCTTAGGATGATAAAGGAGCTTGTACTCTATTAAAATATCAATAAAGAAAATTAAACATTTGATATTTGAATACACAATAGCAATGGAATATCTTTAAACGATAGTTAATTTAATTCGATATAAATAAACGCTATTATCATATGATCCGACCACAATTTTAAACTGATGTTTCTCATGCTATTTTTGAATGAGCGGTTCTTAATTGGTAAAGATTGTTACGACGATAATTTAAAATTTAGAAAGCTTTTTTTGGTATATAAAATTTGTAGATCAATTTGGCCAATTTGCCTTCCGTCGGCGTGGCCCCAAGATATCTTCTAGCCAAATGTCGCCAAGTCCTCTAGGAATAATCCCGTCTTTCCATTGCCTTTCACCAAGAACCGAGTGCAACAATATGGCAATCATTTTTTTCTTTATAAAGTTTTAAAATAAAGTCCGAGAATTTTTATAACTGAATGATGAAATGTAAATTTATTTAAGTTTGCGGATTACGCAGATCGAATCAGTTATGACATATATCGCATGGAACCTCATAAGCATTAATATCTTATTATAATCATTCATATAAAAGTATATCAGATATATTAGAAATTTGTTTATTTCATGTTACAATTGATAAAAGATATGAAAATTTTCATTTTTCAAATTTAGAAAATAATTATTTACATAAACTTTGAAATTCTTATTTGATTAATGTCAAATATTTAAGGAGTAAAGAGAAATATAAAAATATTTCAAAATAAAATCATATTCAAGGATAAGCGCACATCTTTTCAAAATCGCATCCAATCTTATCACCAAGAGTCTCTTTAAATTTGTTCCATTCGC